GTCTCTAAGATAAATTATACATTAATCTTAATCTCCATTTTTCAAGAAGTTTGAAGCATGAAGCCTGGCAAAGAAGCATCACATTAAGCTGGCAATCAGGAGAATTTGGGGGTTGGGAAATGTGAGGCATTTAGTAACACTGAAGTTAGAAAGATGAGGAAGGACAGCTGCGTGCATACTGGAATGACATGCAAACAGCACTAATTAAGAAAGAACTAGGGATAACTTTCTATGGGGTACTGGTTAATTCAAAATTAATTTTCTAACTTCTGAAATGAATATTTTTAACAAATTAGGAAAATATATAAAAAGGGAAACATGATCCCTTAATTCTTGATAATGAACCTTTAATGTTTCAGAAAATATAAATAGTATATCTACAAAGAACAAAATAAACCAAATTTGACATTAGCATAAAAACAAAAACACCAAAATAAGAAAAATAATAAAAGAACACCAAAAACAACCAAACCTATAAAAGCTTAATAACCACATAGAAGCACTTTAAAATCAACACTTAACTCTTTTTCTAAATACATACAATATAAAATTTACAACTCATATTTACTATATTCACAATCTTATATTTACTATAAAGTTAAAACTTAAACTTTACGCAATATATTTATATTTTTAAAACTTTTGGATAAAATTGTCAAGGTTGATTTTCTTACCAAAAATTCTACATCATATTAACATTGAAAATCAATCCTCCCTAAAAAAGCTTATATAACAATATAAAAACTATATTTATGATCGTAAGATATATTTTTTCTATTGGATCATCCATTTATGATAGTATGAATTAAGTACACATTTGGGAGTTGCCGAAACAACCAAGAGTACAGTCGTAGCCTGCAAATTACCAAATTGTTTAGGCGCACTTAAATACTGAGAAAGATGGATGCCTACCACGAAATTTATCTGAGGAAACACTAACTCTAGCATGCTTCTCTTTTTTTCTTCCTACTTCTCATATTTCCTTTCAAACGTATTTTCTATGAAAAAAAACCCAACTCATGAAACTTGAGTTGCTCTAATTAATATCATTTCAAAAACCAAGAAAAAAATCCTTGTTTTTTAGATAGCATAGCCAAACCAAAAACAAAAACCAAAAAAAAATGCAGACTATACTAAATGTAAAAGGTACAACCAAGAGTAAAGCTTACCTATTATTACTGTGAATCTGGTATTTTACAATTGGGCATGTATCCTAAAGGAGGTCATACTGTACTCCCCATCTGTTGCCTTCTTGTAACTTACTATCCATGTTACAAGTAACTAAATACAGCAGGTCCTCGAATAACATAGTCTTATCGTTCAACATCATTTTGTTATAATGCTGATGAGATGCCATAGGAACTCAACTCTCCTTTATAGCAACTAGCCCATGGTAAATTGGTTTCATTATCATCGTTTCGCTTGAAGTCACAGAACCTATCAATGACATTATGTGAGGACTTACTGTACCAGTCTCAGGTCAACCAAAAGAAAGCCAGTGTGAAATTCAGATGAAGCAACACCAGTGTGCCTCAAGTTTCAAAAGCAGGAGCCATTCAGAACATGTGGGAGTATATGAGGCTGACAAGGTCATTTAAAAATAATCCCTATAATGGTGCATTGATGAAATTAATCTTCTGCTAAGATTCCTTGCATTCAAATTAGTACTCTTTAACACACTTGTTTTTTTTGAACAGCATTTGAAAAATATGCAAAGATACCTTAATCCATTTTATTTTATATCTTTCCCAAAAAATTAAGAGCAATTTAGTGCTTTTAAATGGATCCCTTTTTAGTTAAATTACAAGCTAAGGCAAGACAATTTAGAGTGACTTGAACTTCCATTTTTGCTTTGACAGGCAAATTGTTGAAAATAATTAAATAAAAGAATATTCCAATCACCCCAGCAGTAAAACATTTCTATGCCACCTCCGGCTCTAACTTTTGATGCTTGCGTTGACAGAAATGTCAATTACAGAACTAATAATAAAGTGTATTGAAAATGTATGAAACGCCTGATCTATAAAAGAATAGGAACTATTACTTCCTACTCTGTGATTTTTGTAGTTTTAATATAGGTGATGGCTTAATACATTTTCAAAAGACAAGGTGATATATCAAGTGGTGAAAAATTGCTAAGAAAAGAAGTGAAAAAATTTTAGAGAAAAACAGAAATCTGGTGACTTGCTTTTTATTCAGACCATACATAAGAAGGAGAAATTGAAAACTTTATGTATGTTTTTCATAATTTTAAATTCAATTCCAGAAGTGTTACCTGTGTTTTTTCAGTCTTCCTCACTATTGAATTATTTTGAGCCATTATAAAAGGAAAAATATTCATTACTGTAATATTTGTTATAACCTATATTGTATTTCTTTTCATTTATTTACTAGAGGCCCAGTGCACAAAATTCGTGCACTCAGAGGTGGGGGTCCCTCAGCCTGGCCTGCACCCTCTCGCAGTCAGGGAGCCCTCAGGGGATGTCTGACTGCCCGGAGGCAGGAGAGGCTCCCACCACCACTGCTGCACTCGCCAGCCGTGAGCCCAGCTCAGGGCTTCTGGCTGAGCGGCACCCCCCTGTGGGAGCGCACTGACCACCAGGGGGCAGCTCCTGTATTGAGCATCTGCCCCCTGGTGGTCAGTGTGCATCATAGTGACCGGTCATTCCACTGTTCAGTCAATTGCATATTAACCTTTTATTATATAGGATTATTTGTTCATTCATTGTTATTCATACTATTTACTGAGCAATCAAGATCTCCTTGAGAAGGTAGCATCTGAGAAAAGATTAGAAAGAAGAGGGCAGATAAGTTGGCAATCTAGGAAAACCAGAGTTCCAGCCGAGGGAACAGCAAGTGCAACAGCCCAGAGACCTATGTTGGTCGGCAAGATGGCAAAAGGACAAGTGTGGGATTTGTGAGGCAGAGAGAAGGAGGAAATGAGGTCATAAAGGAACAAATCAGAGAGCAAGACTGCATATGGCCTTGTAAACCATGATAAAAGAAGTCTGGTTGAATGAAATGAGAGGCCAACAGAGGGTTTTAAGCAGAGCAATAATGTGATCTGACAAATTTCAAAAGGATGAAATTTGACTGGTGTGTGGAACACAGGCACAGGATGGCAGGCAGGAGACCAGTTAGGAGGCACTGCAATAATCCAACACAAGAAATGACAGGCCCAGAGAGAGGCCGGATTCGGGGCTCTGAGAAGTTGCCACTGGCTGACACAGGAAGACTAATAGGCTTCAGCCATCTTCTCCTCCTAGAACATGGGTTCTCTCCATAGAATAAAAAAGAAGGAAAAAACCAAGATGGCGGCATAGGTAAACACCAGAGATTGCTGCTTAGCACAACCACTTCAAGAATACAACTAAAAGACGGAACAGACATCATCTAGAACCACAGGAAGGCTGGCTGAGTGGAAATTCTACAACTAGAAGGAAAGAGAAAACATACCGAGACTCAGAGGAGGTGCAGTGCGGAAGTAAAGTACAGCAGTATGGAGGCGCACGTGGAGAGGGTTGGCGGCTGTGGACACGGTTGTCTTTTTCAATCGGTAGGGAGTCTCAAGCTCTGAGCTCCAGTTCTGGGCGAGTCTCTGGGGACCCAGACTCATACAGGAGAAACTGGACTATCTGGCATCAGTCGGAACTCGAGGGCAGTTTTCTCTCAGAGGTGCTTGCAGCGATTGCCGGGACACTGAGAAACGGGGCCTCTGAGGGCAGCCATAGCTGCTTGCTCCGCCCTGTTGATCCCCTGGGACCCCCGCCCCGCCCAAGCTGTGCGCCGGCTTTTGCATATGAAAGGCCTGGCCCTCTCCAATCTGGGACCCCTCGGGGGATGTTCAACAGGGATCGGGCCTAAACCGGCAGTCAGACATCTCTCTTGCAATCCAGGACCACTGGCTCCTAATCACTCACCTGCCTGCCTGCCTGCCTGATCACCCCTAACCCCTGTGCCTGCCTGCCGATTGCCCCTACCCGCCTCTGCCTGCCTGCCTGATGCCCCTAATTGCTCCCCTGCCCACCTGATCGCCCCTAACCACCTCTGCCTCGGCCCCCGCCACCATGGCTTTGTCCAGAAGGACATCCAGAAGGACGTCCAGAAGACGTCTGGTCTATCTGGTCTAATTAGCATATTACCCTTTCATTAGTATAGATTCTGCTGGTGGTTATACACCATTTGTCAAAATTCAATGAACTATATACACAATAAACAGTTAAATTCCATAGTACATAAATTATATCTTCATAAAGTTTTTTAATAAAACACTTAGAATAATGTTTAGCATATATAAGCACTCAATAAATATTAGCTAAAAATAACTATTATTTTTATGGCAATCCAAGAAAGAAATGGTTTCATAGATAGAAAGACTGAGAATTTTAAGATGTTTTTTTCAAAATAAGATAAATTCAGAAATTTATTTTTAATAAACCCTACCCTATTAGCAGATAATATAAGGGCTTAAAGTAAAGATCTGTCATTAAGCTTTAGTTTCTATAAAAAGATTACTGAGCACACAGCCAAATGAAGTATGACTCTCATGCTGGAGGTTCAGCAGCATCCAGGTAGAAAACAGAGCAGATATCACGCTAATTCAAAAAAGTGAGTGGTAAGTGTTATATAAAGCAACAACACAAAAGTCATAAGTGAATAATGCCTCATGAGAAGTAGGACATAACATTTCACTGAAATTCTAATGGCACTTGAGAGAATTTGAAACTTCTCATTAAACACTTCAAAACTACTTCAAATAAAATAGGAAGCAAAACAGCAAAGCAGGGCTGTCAAATTTAAGCAGTTGCATAAGTGGCAATGGGGACTATACAACCAAGAAACCCAATGAACCAAATTCTCTTTGCATCTAGCAGAATCTAGCCTGAGAAGGGCCGAGACTAGGAGTGACACACACACACACACACACACACCACATCTTTAAGGATTGTAAGTAAAGCAGCTATATAAAGAAAGGGAACTGAGTAAGTGTCCCTTCTTACCCTCTTCTGCTTCATCCTCCTGGGGTGACATTGGACCCCCTCCACTAGTAGGAGTGACAGGTTCCTCCTTCTCAGACTCTCTCTGTAGACTCACCACCTCATAGATTGCATCTCCAGCACTGGTGTGACCTTTTCCCTCTGTCTGAGAAAGAGATAAACATGTGTTTCAATATGAGAAATGTGAAGGAAACACTGTTTCAACGGTCCATTAAAAAGCGCTGAAATGAGCCCTAGACGGTTTGGCTCAATGGATAGATAATCAGCCTGCGGACTGAAGGGTCCGGTTCGATTCTGGTCAAGGGCACATGCCTGGGTTGCGGGCTCAATCCCCAGTATGGGGCGTGCAGGAGGCAGCCAATCAATGATTCTCATCATCACTGATGTTTCTATCTCTCTCTCTCCCTCTCCCTTCCTCTCTAAAATCAATTAAATATATATATATATATTTTTTTTTTAAAGCGCTGTAATGAAAAGCAGCATGTCATGCTTGAAAAAAAATTTGGAAGTACTTTGTTCTTCACATGGTATTTGAAATGTATGGTTCTTATAGCATTGTGTTAACCAATACAATGAAACCTGCTGACCATTTTGGAAGAACTCAATCTTTTTTATCATAAAAACCCAAGACACCACAGATTCTAGGGCATGCAGGTAAGCGAATGTTGCTAGATTCTTAGGACTCACTACCTCGCATTGAGATAAAGAGATATCACAACATCCCTCAACTAATTCATGGAAGTAAATAGTTTCTACCTTATAAATGGTTTATATTATAAATGGATTATTTTTAAGAAGGAAAAACTAAGGCAACTGCCAATTAATTAATCAAGCATAGCCTACAAAGCCCTAGATAAACTACCTCCAACCTCATCTCACACCTAAGTGTGTCACTACATTCCAGCCACTTTGGCCTCATTCAGCACTGGGAATCTTTAAATTCTCTCCCAGCTGAAGGTGTAGGGACATCCTTTTCTCTCTGCCAATACAGCTTTTCCTCCTACTCTTTGCTAACCCCCATCAAACTCAGATCCTTTCACTTCTACAAAGAATTAAACCTGAGTTCCCTGTTTTGATTCTCATACCTTGTTCTTCCTTCACTTCCCTCACCACAAGTAATTACACATTTATCATATTCATGTGTTTAATGGCTATCCTGTCTACTGGACAGTATGCACCTTAAAGACAGGGACTATGTTGATTTTCAATCAGAAATAATACAGTGCCTGACACATAGGTACTCAATAAATATCAGTGGAATGAATGACTGGTAATGGTTACCTTCTTCCTTCACTATAAAACAAAAATTATGTGTATTACCTACTAACACTGCCTAATTTAGGAATGTCTTGGAAACACTACTTTTGTTCATTTAATATTAAAATAACTTTATAGGCCTGACCGGTTTGGCTCAGTGGATAGAGCGTCGGCCTGCAGACTGAGGGGTCCCAGGTTCGATTCCGGTCAAGGGCATGTACCTGGGTTGCGGGCACATCCCCAGTGGGGGGTGTGCAGGAGGCAGCTGATCGATGTTTCTCTCTCATCGATGTTTCTAACTCTCTGTCCCTCTCCCTTCCTCTCTGTAAAAAAATCAATAAAATATATTTTAAAAAATAAAATAAAATAACTTCATAACCTTACTAATAAGTCAAACAATATACAGGATGGGGCAAACATAGGTTTACAGTTGTTCATATGGAAAATAACACAATAATTAATAAATAATAATACAAGAATAAACTGTGTTTTGCATACTTACAACTATAAACCTACATTTGCCCACCCTATATTCATATAATAGTATAGATAGAAATAATTATGAAAAGTAATCAGATATTACTTGAATATTTATTCATTATAACTTTACAAAGGTATAATATTTCTGTGCCCTGTCTTTTTGGTTTTAATTATTATATATAAAAGGAAGAAAAGCTGTTTTAAATATAGAATCAATATTTCTATTAAGTATATTGTTGCTTTACAGGTGCACATTACAGGTTTCTAGGGGGGAAAGTACATAATTATTACACTAGCTGTTTTTTTTAACTTACATTAACTAGATGTGGATTTTTCAAATACTCTATTGGCTGACTCTAAACATCATTTAATTAGAGAAATTTTATGGCTTTTTATTGCTACTTAAGGAACTATCTTGACATTTAAAAAGAATGATGCTATTACATGAGGAGAACAAAAAGGTCCTACCTGTTTCAACCTCATGAAGAAAGTCTCCGTGAAAGTCTTTCTGCTGAAATACCAGAATCGCTCATTTGCAGGGTATACACGTACTACTGTCTCCAGGAGAAAGCGGACAGGCTCCACCACCTCCGTGACGACCATATCCACTGCCACAGTCATGTACACTCGTTTATCTGCAGCAGAAATTCTCTGTGTTTTATGCTGGCTTTATTATACCTTCATTATTTAAGAAAACAGTTTCCTCACTTACTATCACATTACCTTCTATGTTTAATTTTAAAGGTTTTCATGTCAGCTTGATTAAATAGTAACCAAGTATTCCAAATATGTTGCTCATCACACAGAATCCTATTTTAATCAGCTGTCCAAATCTTCTCTGACAACTTTAATATTTTTTCCCAAATCAGGTCTTACTATAAAACAAATAAAATAAAATCTTCAGGATGTCTTTTACACTAAAACTATCTTTCAGATTTCCCAGAAAAACCTCTGGAAAAATCACAGAGGCTTGCTCTTTCATTTTATAAAAAGAGATACTAGAAATCATGTTTGTTGAGTTGCTTGGAAAGATCATTAAATCAGAAGAGCTGCTCTACCTTCACTATATTAAATTTGCATAGGAAGATACTATTAAAATGAATACTTCAACATTATATGCTTTAAGAGAAATCCCTGGATATCTGTCAGTTCCCTCCTTCATTGTCCATGATATATATATTGACCCTCAGGAAAATCACTGTGATTTTCATACATATTATATGTATCTGAGTCCTTTTTGAGAACAACAGTCAAAATTTCAGTTACTATTTAAAATGTTTACTTGGCCACGGCCTTCCTTTAATTTGAATCTAGAATCTTCCAGGCCATTGGCTACAATTTCATAATGACAGGTTGAAATATGGATTTGGTTTTATTTTATTTGCCCTACTTCAGATTCATTAGGATTTTTGAGTCTGTGGCTTGGTTACTCCATACCATTTTGTCATTTCTTCATTACTTTAAAAACTTTTTTCCAATTTATTGTGCCCACCACTTTTAGTTCTGAGTTAGAGGGAGAATCAAATGGCCAAGCCCACTAAAAGAAATATTCAACTGTGCTTTTAAAAACATTTTACAACATTTATACTCATCAACCACACATCTATTAATATCATCAAACTCAAATATTGTATTGCATTCTTACATGCATTCTGCTGCCAATTGAAGAGAAAGTAGGATTCTCTAGATATTGTACTTGATCTAGAAGACCTTAAAGTCTAAGGGAATAATGTAGAGGGGTAAGAGAGAATAACACAAAACATAGACTATAATACACAACTTGGTATAATGAAAAGATCCAAGATATTTCTGCTCCCAGGGCCTCAACTTCTTCTGTAAAAATCAAACTGTAATTCATGAATCTCCTCAATAATTTATAATATCAAGGACACGATTTGAAAATTTTAGCAATCAGGTAAACATTTGAGTTTGCATATGAAATAATTTAAATTTAAGATACATTATCTTTTGGATCAGAAGATTATTATAATTCAATATTACATGAAGTTTATTTTAATAAAACATAAATTTTAAAATATATTGCCTTTTATTTGAGGATTCAATGTGTATTAAAGTACAAAATGAAACTGAACTATGTTACATTAAAAATAGATAAAAACTGCTTTACTTATTTTTTGAAATTTGGATATTTTATTCTTCAAAATTATCAACTGGCTTATTTTTCTCATTTTTGTGGTTTCTTTCTGAGTAATAATAAGAAAGACGTTAATAAGCTGGTATTTACAAGTCTAGCTCCAGAAATAAAAAACTGTGAGTGTAAAAATTATTTATTCTTAATATATGAAAAGCTAAATTTTATATAATCATTATTTTTTCTCCCCTTTTAGCCCTCAGTATGAAACAGCTTGATGTGTGATTAAATGCATGCAATTTATGGGACTGGAAAAGACTCTTTAAAGAAATTTGAGAGTAATTATCATTTTAATATTCTTCATCAATATATTATACTTCCATATCAGTATTCACTAATGCTCCTGTGTTTAACCAAAAGTCTACATTATAAACGAAATAATGTAAGACAAAGATTAAAAAAAAGATCCATTATTTTCTCAATATAAATTATTGGTTGAATGACAGTAAAGAATTTAGTATAAGATTGTAATTCATGAGGTAATTAATGTTAGTTTGAAAGCAGATGATGGAGGAGCAAAAAAACAAACAGGTAATTGACAGATGCCTGGAAAAAGTAGGAATAAAAATAAACACAGTGGGAAAAATGACCAATGTGACTATATACCATTCATAAATTCTGTTCAACACTAGTCATGTTCAACAAAATGAAAAGGTAAACAACAAGGAAAAAAGGGTTTGTCATAAATGATATCCTTGCTATACATTACTAAGATCTAAACTCCCTAAGTTCAAAAGACTGGAACAAAATTGTAAGTTATATTTTTTTAAAGTTAAAATGCTTATCAAAATATGCAGAATTTTAGAATTTGCTTTCATTATTTCATTCATATTCTTCCATCATTTTGCCTCCAAATAAAATCACTCTATAATGACATATAAAACACAAAGCACAGCCCTGGCTGGTGTTGCTCATTGGTTAGAGCGCCGTACTGTGCACCAAAGGGTTGCGGGTTCGATTCTCGATCAAGGGCATGTACCTGGGTTGCAGGTTCAACCAATTTTTCTCTCCCATTCTCTCTCTCTGCTTCCCTCCCTCCCCTCTTTGTCCCTCCCTCCCTCTACCTCCTCTCTTCCTCCACTCTAAAAATCAATGGAAAAAATATACTCAGGTGAAGGTTAACAAAAAATAAAAATAATAAAACACAAAGCACAAATACTTTCTACATAATCTAATAAAATTAATTCATGTATCTCTAGGGAGGATTCTTTTGAATAGTGGAGGTTTTCCCCAACAGATAGGAGGTTTTCCCCAATAGATAGGTAAAATAGAAAAAGAACCTTTAAACTCTAAAGAAGAATAACTCCTAATGTAATATTTCTTTAAAGAAAACCCGCCCCTGGCTGGTGTGGCTCACTTGATTGAGCATCATCCCATGCACCAAAAGGTTGCTAATTCAATTCCTGTTAGGGCACATGCCCATGTTGCAGGCTCAATCCCCAGTAGGGGACGTGCAGGAAGCAGCCAATAGATGGTTCTCTCTCACATCGATGTTTCTTTCTCTCCCTCTTCCTTCCTCTCTCTCTAAAATCAATAAAAACATATTTTAGAAAAGAAAATTTGAAGGACTTATTGGAGATACAAATTGATTTCTCACAAAATTTAGAGCACCATTCTAAATAGTATTATGTAAATAACAATCTTCTTAAAATTCACCTGAACCTGTGTTTACTTTCTATTGCGCCTCAGTACAACAGTGTTCAGTGTCAATAATTATATATGTGTAGTAATCATGTGAAATCACATAAGATTTAGCATGTTTTAATGCATTATACACATTAACTTAGACTATTATTTTCCCTGCAATAGACCGTTCTCCTTATGCTAAAGAAATAGTGTTGGATGTAGAAATGCAAAATGAATAGTAAGAAAACTATATCAGATATGTTTATTGTGCAAAACACAAGTCTGGGCTAAATTTTATAGTAAAATCTATTAATGAAAAAAATACTCCATTTTAAATGAGCACCAGATATTTTTTTAAAACATGGCAAAACAACATTGTCCATAATGTGGAATTGGGCGCGGGGGTATAGCTCAGTGGTAGAGCATCTGACTGCATAATGTGAAATTTTAAGCAAATAATAAGGAATCTTTTAAGAAAATTCACCTTTTGGGGTTTCTTCATTAAGTGCCAGAAATATGGGTGCATTGGGGTTCCACATGCCGGTGATAACGTAAGCCCTCCCATCATAGCTCTTTCCCATGGATTCCTGTGAAAGTCCAAACAGAAATATATACATCAAGAAAATCACCATTTCAATTAATAAGTTTATCTTACTTTAAACCAGGGGTCCTCAAACTATGGCCCGCGGGCCATATGCAGCCCGCCGAAAACATTTGTTTTTTTACTTCAAAATAAGATATGTGCAGTGTGCATAGGAATTTGTTCATAGTTTTTTTTTTAAACTATAGTCCAGCCCTCCAACGGTCTGAGGGACAGTGAACTGGCCCCCTGTTTAAAAAGTTTGAGGACCCCTGCTTTAAACAATCCAATTTACTAAAATTTGGATTTACAATCAAAAGCGGGGGGGGGTATTTTCTCTGTAAATTTTTTCACCCTACAAAACACTTCTTTGAATATTAAATTCTCCTACAGCTTTCTTCAAACAGTTTCTTTTAAAGACACGTACCTTTTGGCCCGGCCATCATGGCTCAGTGGTTGAGTGTTGACCTATGAATCAGGAGGTAAAGGTTCGATTCCTGATCAGGGCACATGCCCCAGTTGTAGGCTCAACCCCCACTGTGGGGCATGCAGGAGGCAACCGATCAATGATTCTCTCTCATCTTGATGCTTCTATCTCTTTCTCCCTCTTCCTTCCTCTCCGAAATCAATTTAAAATATTTTAAATAAAATAAAAAATAAAGACACGTACCTCTTAAAATAAAAGAGTCCATGCTGGATCACAAAAACATAATATTGCTATGAAGTTATACTTAACTTGATCTTAGGCTGCTATCAAAATCTCATATACTCACACATACAAGGATGTATGTAGTTGCTATGAAAACTATAGTATAGATCAGTGATGGCGAACCTATGACACGCAAACTCATTTTTTTGGTTGATTTTTCTTTGTTAAATGGCATTTAAATATATAAAATAAATATCAAAAATATAAGTCTTTGCTTTACTATGGTTGCAAATATCAAAAAATTTCTATATGTGACACGGCACCAGAGTTATGTTAGGGTTTTTCAAAATGCTGACACGCCGAGCTCAAAAGGTTCGCCATCACTGGTATAGATCTTACTGAAGACAGTTAAATTGAATTTATAGCTAATTACAAGATAGCATTTTCCTCCAATGCTCTAATTTTAATATATTCTTAAAATATTAATTTACTTTGTCACAATCAATACCTTCAAAGTGAATATTTTCCTGCTATATATGTCAGATATTTATACACTTTCTTAAAATCATAAGTCAATAGGAGGAAACTAATATTGGTTTGTAATCAACATGGACGCTTACTATCTCCCTCTACCCTTACACTCACTCCCTCCTTCTTCCCTCTCTCCTCTCCCCTTCCTCTTCATTTCCTCCACTCTTTAAGACCTTTACCTAGCCAGCTCCTGACTCTCCCTACAGAAGCCAGCAACTCCCTATACTGAGGGCAAGACCACATATAGTTGGGGGAGGGGGGAGGTTAAAGGTTGTCCCATGGGAGAACTGCACACAGAATACAAACATGTGCATATGCGAAACGGAATATTATCTACAGTACTTTCAATGTTCTGTACCAATTTCCTATTGTAAACAGAAAGGTTTCAAAGGGTCAGACTAAAAAAAGGGAAAGCTTTTTTTACAAAATTACCCCCCTCCCACATATGCTTCTCTAAATCTCTATAAAATTGTTTCAGTCATTTGGTATATTTGTATGGTGTATTAGTGATATTTCACTAATCAAATTGCTTAGCTTGAGTGCAAAGACCACATTCAATGAAATACACTCAAGGTCATGTAAAGGAAACTCACTCAGTACCTCCAATACTCATATATTCATATTCTCCCTCTCCTTTTCTCCCTCTCTCCCTCTCCACCCCCTTCTCTCTCCTTTATCTTCTCTCACTATCCTCTAATTAGACCCTCAAGAATGAGCATCTAACCCCACCTCCCAAAGAAACACAATCCACCTGTGGACAAGAACAGTGCAATGCTTAAATCTAAAAAGAAGAGCTAGACCAATAAAAGTCTTTCTTTTAATTAACAAATACAAAGGAAAGTGGACAGTTAAAAGTAGAGCTAAAAGGTTTGATAAGAAGTCAGGTGAAAAAAATAAAAACAAAAACAAACAGAACAAAAATAAATAAATAAATAAATAAATAAATAAATAAATAAATAAAAACAAAAAAAAGAAGTCAGGTGATGACAGGTCACATCCTACCTAATAAAGATGGAATATGCTAGTTGACCCTCATGCCGCAAAGATGGCGGCGCCCACAGCCAATAAGTAGGGAATATGCTAATTGACTGCCCCGCCCTCAAAGATGGCGGCACCCACAGCCAATAAGGAGGGAATATGCTAATTGACTGCCCCGCCCTTAAAGATGGCAGCGCCCACAGCCACAAGATGGCGGCGTCCAGTCCCCTCAGCCCCACTGGGGTGGCAGGTGCTCTGCACACCTGCCTCCAGAGACCCCCAGTCCCCTCAGCCCCCCTGCTGCCCAGGGACGGCCCGAGGCACAGGCAAGCCTCGTATGGCGGCTCCACAGCCGCCCAGGGCCGCCCGAAGCTCAGGTAACCAGGGCCAGCCGAGGCTCGTGCTGCCAGCAGTGGCAGCAGCAGAGGTGTGATGGGGCGTTGCCTTCCCCTGATTGCCGGGTCACCTCCTGCCCCTGAGGGCTCCCAGACTGTGAGAGGGGACAGGCCAGGCTGAGGGACCCCCCTCCAGCGCATGAATTTTCATGCACCGGGCCTCTAGTATAAAATAAAATTAGATGATGAAAGGAGACTTGCCTTGGGGTGGTGAACACAATACAATATACAGGTGATGCATTATAGAAATGTACCCCTGAAACCTATATAACTTTATTAATCAATGTCACCCCAATAAATTCAATAAAAATTTAAAAATAAATAAAGTGAAGCTAGATATGTGATGATAATAGAAACTATATGGTAGGTAAAACAGATAAAGAATAGCAGAGTATGAGGAAACTGCTAAATGCTGAGAGAAATGGAAAACATTTTTTAAATCCTTTAAAATAATTAGTTACACAGTCAAAAAACAAAGGCAAATATTGAGAAGCAGGAAGGGAGGGAGAAGAGGGGAGAGAGGCAGAGGAAGGGCAGGGAGGAAGGCAAGGAGGGAAATGGGGAGGAAAGAGCAAGAAGAAAGAAAGAAAGAGGCAAAACTTTCAAAGTTTGTCAGAATAATATGTAAGAAGGTGAAATTTGTTTTCAAAAGTGTTCACATATTTGGACATGTCATAGAAGACAGAGAAGTACCAAAGTCTTGCTCTAGCGGGGAGAAGTAACACAGATTAGGCCAAGTTACAAGGAATACAATATCAGGTGATCACAAAGAAATAACTTTGTAATAACCAGCACTGTCCCATAATCTTCATTATAAAGTAACGAGTTCCTTTTTATTAGGCATAGTCTAGCCGAAGCTCAATAACCATGTATTAAGACGGTATGAAGATTAACAGCACTGGGTAGTAAGTCACAACTATTGATAACTGCAAATGCTCGCCCTCCCACCTGACCAACTTCTGGTTGTACAGATCAGCCCACTTCTCTTTCCAGGGGCTTTAATGCTGACAAGCCCTTTGATTTCAACATGGACTCTTAAAGGTGGAGACTGCACGACAATGAGACACATAAGGGGCCTCAGGAGTTCATGCCAGGCCTGTAATTCTATAATGTGAACTTAAGTTCATGGAAAAATCTCTGCCAGTGATTCATCTTAATCTCTGAAACTGTGAAAGACCATGATTAGTTAAGACCTAGAAGCATCTACGCATTTAATGTCCCTGAACTACCTCCACATGGAATTTTCAGGGCTTGAAATGCTCTGGATTGCCTCCGGTAAAAGCACTTGCATTACTGCTGTGCCTTAAAGAGGGATGGAGGAGAGATGGATCAATAGCTCATTTGTTTGCACATTCACTGTAACTGGTTGTCCTCACCTGACCTATCCATGGGGTTCTTCCTCTAAATTCCTGTGGCTCACTGGACCAACTCAACCCACTTAATGAGAGCACTTAACCCACTGCTATAATTACAGACTCATAAGGTCTGTTCCCGTCATAAGACTATGAACTCACAGATGGTGAGAGTTGTGTTCTACCTTATCTACAACCCCAGCACTTCACACAATGCTTGGCACATAGTTAGAAGTTCAAAAAGGCTGACTGAAACATCCCAGTACCACTAGAAAACCATGTGATCGTCACCATGAAATAAAGAAAATGTTGACATAATTGGTGACATTTATCTGACATTTGCAAAACACAGCTGAAAAAAAAAACATTTAGTACTTGTTATCACTAAATATAAAAGCTGCAGTGAAGTAAGTAAAAAGCTTTATGCTTACTCTAAGATGACCATTTCCTATAACATTTCTAAATTGCAAAGTAAATGTTTTCATTAACTGCAATATTAGAAGGTGTTTCTGTTTAAAAGTTAGGATGGCTTGCTATTTTTACATCAAATACAAACTCTTAAATATATATTGACCTTTAAGGGCATTCCTGAAATAAATAGCACTCCCACAATACATATACTTTGCTAAGGATAGATAATCAAAGACGAGATATTCAGAAAGGGAAATGCTTTTAAGAAAATAAAAGCATCTATCACAGGACTCAAATTAATAAAAGTGCATTAAAATAAATAAAAGGTACCATATTCACTCTGGATATGCCTGTGATAATCATGTCCTTGTTATTTTTGGCTCAAAGAAAAGACATCCTCCTAAGAAGCCAAACAGATGAATAGATGGACATCGTCATAACACTGTTCTTCTATTTGCTTTGAACTTGCATATAATTTTTTGGTGGGAATTGTCCCAAATCTCTCCCTCATAAATAATTTTAAGTTTAGGTTTTCAAATTTCATTATTACTATTATACAGCTGAAAGTTAGAAACAGATCTCTCAATATGACAATTTTAAAATAGAAAATATTTTAAAAATATAAAATAACTAGATCTATACTTGGTTAAAGTGTTTAAGGTTAATATTACCATATCCAGTAAATGCATGTCACTGTTCTTCACGTTTCGACCTGGGCTTAATAACATTCCAAAACATCTGAAAATTTGAGGGAAAAAGGAGAAATAAGGTATCAAAAATATATAAAAGCCCAGTGAACAAAAAGCCTTTTTATAATAACTATATACTCTGACCTCTGTACTTATAAATAGCTTTCTTATTGTAGAGAAACACCACAGATAAAAATTCATTAAGATACATAATAAAAATCACATAGAAATAACTTATCTAAATTGCCAGATCTTTATTTCTACATGTAAAAGATTACCAGTGATCAGAAACTGTGATAAAAATGGCCACAAAAATTGTTGATAGAAACAGAATACAGTTGAAGTTATTCCAAACATATAGGTCAAGACCATATAACCCAATTAAATTAAAAAGGAGATTTATTTTTTAAAGAATAAGAAAAAGACACTGTGCTCTCCCTTTGTATCAAGCTATATTAACAGGAACAATCACCCTGGCCCTCACCAGTCATGTTCACTGAGTAGCTTATTAAAACTATGTCCTCATTTGAAAAAAAATAGTAATATAAAATACATTACTAAAAGTACTATTATTCAGTGAAAACATTATCCAGTGTATTATATGCTAGTAACCATTTACGTTATTCCATGCTTCCTGATGTAAGAGAAGTGTTAGAAATCCCATCAACACTACCCCTTTATTTGTACAAGGTTTTCACAAGCTGCAAAATTCAGTTAAATCTAATATTTTTATTTGTTAGGATATACTTGTTAATTCTGCTTTATAGGGAAGAAAGGTAAAGCCCAGAGAAGTTAAACAATTTATTCATATTAACGTGGCTATTCCACAGGTCTTGTAACTCAAGAGGCAATGTGATCTGTCCACTGTGTCCCTCAGCCAACAACACATACTCACACGTACTAGTGTTTTTATTGTAGCTTTCCAAAATTTAATATGCTATGAAGCACTTTATACAAGGGGTAGAGAATGTAAATCAATTAAATATGAGATTTTTCAAATTTTAAAATAGTGGCAGCTAACCAGTCAATATTGAATCTGATCCTTGTTTCCCAAAGGTTTACTTTTCTAGTAGCACTAGCTTTTTCTCTTTTTTTTCTATGATCAAGGTAAGTGATTGATCCTATCCAAACAGGAGTTCAGTAAGCGGTGAAACAATATCTACTTCCTGTGAGTACTTCGAGATATTTTGCTCAGGGCTCCCTTTGGCATCCAAAAACAATCAAGTACATAACGAAGATAAAGTTGAAAATCTCTGAGGATAACTTTCCAAGCATATTATTGTATCACTGAACAAAATATAATCTACTAATACAGAGATAATTATATTCTAATAGTCATAATTGCAATATTACTACTATACACTATTTGATCTCTCTCCTATGAACTACTATAATAAATATTATCTGTACAAATTAAATGTTAATTAATTTTGCAATTCATTGTACTATTTCTCTGACTATTGCTTAAATTCTTGATAAACAAAAATAAAAGTTAATTATTTTCAGATATAAAATTTGATCCCCCAACAAAGAAATTAGGTCAATAAAGACAGAAGATTTGTCTCACATTCCCTGGATAGCAGTCCCCCCTTATCCGCTGGGGATTCATTCCATACATGAAACCACAGATAGTACCGAACCACATATATACTATGTTTAAGCTGTACATACAGACCCTTTCACTTAAAGCAGTGGTTCTCAACCTTCAGGCCCTTTAAATACAGTTCCTCATGTTGTGACCCAACCATAAAATTATTTTCATTGCTACTTCATAACTGTAATGTTGCTACTGTTATGAAGCGTAATGTAAATATTTGATATGCAGGATGGTCTTAGGCGACCCCTGTGAAAGGGTCGTTCGACCGCCAAAGGGGTCGCGACCCACAGGTTGAGAACCGCTGCAGCACCTTACAGCTCTTGGGCATATCCGAATTGTCAACATCACTACTCTTCCACTTTGGGGCCATTATTAAGTAAAATAGCAATGACTTAAATACAAGTACAGCGATAGCTTAACAGTAGATCTGAAAACTAAGTGACTAACAGGCAGGGAGAGTATATGGCCTGATTTTGTCACCTTACTCAAAACAGCATATAGCCCTAGCCGGTTTGGCTCAGTGGATAGAGCCTCGGCCTGTGGACCAAAGGTTCCCGGGTTCGATTCCGGTCAAAGGCACGTACCTTGGTTGCAGGCTCCTCCCCAGCTTGGCCCTGGTTGGGGGCTCGCGCAGGAGGCGACCAATCACTGTGTTTCTCTCACATCAATATTTCTCTCTGTCTTTCCCTCTCTCTTCCACTCTCTCTAAAAATCAATTTTTAAAAATCCCTCAAATGAGGATTAACAAAAAGAAAAAAAAAACATGTAATTTAAAACTTATATATTGTTTTTTTCTAGAATTTTCCATTTAATATTTTCAGGCCATAGTTGACCACGGGTAACTGAAACCGCAGAAAGTGAAACTGAGGATAAGAAGAAACTACTACACATTTTGCTTCAGCTTTCATCAATCATAGTTTAAAAGAACAATTCCCTATATTATAAGGTTTTTAAGTTATAAAAGTATTATATACTCAATGTAAAAAGTTAATGAATACCAAAATATATAGGAAAAAAATTAATTCTCCCTTCTCTCCCTATCTTAGGCCCGTTAGAAACTAATGCCAAAGTTTAACTGCATCCTCCATACTTTTCTTTTGCTGTTTTTGAAAATTTAAACTCTTATTTTGTTCATCTAGCACTTATAGGTAAATCCTATATTTTTATAATGGTACAATTTTATATTTCTTTAATATAATTCCTATGTTAAGATCTACTGCAAAAGGAGCCTTGGAAGTTTAGGTATTCCTTAAATGGCAATGCTTATTACCTTCTTTTGATGATGCTTGATGCACTGTTCTTTTTCTGGGTTATAAAAAAAATCCTGCCACCAACTGGCAGTGTAACCTTAGAGAAAGCACCCCACCCCCTTGGGCCTCCGCTTCCTCTTTCAGAAAGGGGGATAATAGATACACTCTGAGGGTTCTTCCAGCACTAAATTTGCACAATTTTTTTTCTATCAAGCTGTATTAGTCATTTCCAAAATTATACTTCATTAAAGCACATCAGGTTTCCTGTGGGACAAGCAAGGTCTATTAGGAATAAGGTGTCAGTAATTAGATAGATATTATTATCACCACTAACACCTAAGGCAAATAGTAAGTGTTTCACTGGGGAGTTCAAAGCATTCAACCTTCACTTATTAACTCTATAAATAATGTAGAAAGCAAATTGCTAGCACACCTATTTTCTGAAGGAGTTCACAGGCTAGTAGGGGAGGAAAATAAGTAAACAGACAATTACAACCTGAGATGGTGAATTCTCTGATAGCTGTAAATGCAGAATGTTAACAAGCAGAGCAGAGACACAACCAGCATTATTTATAATATAGTAAGTAGCTGACTTGCCCAAAATTTGAAATCAAACCTTCTGAGAATGAGATGATATTATCATATTAATTATGCCAGCTACTGTTTATTGAATGCCTTAACTTTAAGTCAGATATTACTATATCGTTACATTTATATTTCAAAACAACCTTCTAATAACCTAATAATAAAACTGGTTTTCAATAAGTAGAAGTGATTTGCCCACACCACACACAAATTATAACACTGGGATTCAAAGCTCTTGTCTATGACTCCAAAACCGCCTGGTTTTTCACACATTATATTCTGACTGCCTCCCTAGACTATTGGTAGAACAGATTATACATTCCCTGGGTGATCCTGGGCAAGTCACACACTTCAAAGTTTCACCAACATTTCTGAAATACCAATATTACCTGTATACATGTTCATGAAGTTAATGTAAAGTTGAAATGAAAAAAACTAATAGTGGACTAACACTGCAAACTACAGAGCAGTGCCAATTATAAATTATTATTACAATTAGCAAAGAGAAAGTTCAGTCTTCCATAATACCTAGTGAGCTTTTACTCAAAACAGTTTTAAGCAGCTTTAACACCAAGTTAGTACCCATACCAACACCAAAAGCTCAGTGTATCTAGCATTGCTTTAGACCTAACAGTGGGCAAATAAGTGAGAAAGATAAAGATGATATGTTAATGCACTGCAATAGGAGACTAATTATTTCAACTTTAGCTTTTTGTCCCTCAAATCATTAGGATTCTATATACCTCCATAAAAATTATGGATAAAAAATAAGAGAGGAAAGACAAAGAAAAGGAGGCAGGCTAAACTTTATTATTAAAAATGAAAAAAAATGACAGTATGACAGAAGGGGCAAACAACCACAAACAAGAAAAGCTATAACTTAATCATATTTTTAGAACATATAAAAACTCCAAACAATTTCATAAAAATTGGAATCCCAGTATGTTTCAACCTAAAGAATTTAAAGCAAAATATAGAAAAGCCTCCTACATAAAATTATTGACTTGTTTTTGCCTTACTGAAGGAATCAAGGAGAGAAAGATATACAGGCATTCCTCACTATGCACAGTAGTGTGGAACGACAATAACCTTGCAAGCTGGAACTCTGCAAAAGTTACCTTATAATCCACGGGGGAAATATGATTGTTCTGTGATCTTTAAATACTGGTAATGACAAATTCTAGAGTATGACCACGGAAGTAGGTGATTGAGGCAGGAAAAAGGACAATATCTTAGGACAAGCAGAAATCAAGAAACTAAGAAGCTAGATTACTAGAAAAATGATCTACATAGATGCTAAAACTGCCAAAATTAAAATAAGCCTAATAATTAGAGTGACCGTGAGCCAGGAGCTAAATCTTCAAAGAATGATGGGAACCCCTAAGGATTTGTAGATAACTGCAGCGAGACAGGTGAGCAGACGATAAAACCTGAGAGCCTAAACTCTAAAGCTGGAAGTTTTTAAGGAAGAAGGAGGAACAACAGTGGAAGAAGCAAAGGCATACAAGAAAGATGCTTTTACACCTCTAGTCCAGAGGTACAGGCAGTGGGAAAGAGCCATCATTTGAAAGGCAAAAGCCAGGTCCTACAAAGTGAAAGTGACATTCAGAAACAAGG